AGTCTATCCACACAAGCACGACTGATGAAGTTCCGCGCAGAGCCTATGTCTGCGAAGGCGCCCAGTTTGCAGCCACTTACATCAACCTCTACCACAAAATGTTCAACCCTAGGACCTTTACTGATTATTGCCCAAGAGTCTCTGTGGTCTTTCCTTGACCACTCAGTCTGTAACTCTTCTAAGGACTCAGACACATCTCTTGAACAGAGCATTGATGGGTCTATATGTGTCTGCGGGGCGATAACTAGGTCAATAGCCTTGGCTGACGCTTGAAGTGGTGAAGGTAACATTATCACCTCAGCACGGGTAAGAGCGGCTAAAACTCCTACTGGCCCAAGATGTTTCCTGGCCCAAGATGTTTCCCTGCGAAGTGCTCGCAGAAGCACCACCAGAGCTCAAAGATAGGCCTACCACCGTATGAGAAGCTACCTTTGTTGTGATTTTCTTGCCTCAGCAAGTCCTGGACGTATGGCCATAATTGCCACATTTCAGACAAGTGCCCCTAGCAACTCGGTCCCTCCACACCTCGTAGTCCAAACCGAGTTTCACCCATGGGGGTGTCCCTTGGTCACCTTGACCCTTGGGCCGACCTACCTTCTGGTTCCCGGTCCCCCTAGCCTTTTCTTTAATGGGCGCTATGACTCCCCCTTTCGAAGTCTTAATAGTGTCATCCTGCTCTATATTTTCCCCATAGTCAGGGAAGCTATCAATCTCAGTCGCCTGACCATTGTGGCCGGCAAACATGAGATTGCCTTTCTTCCTCCAATCTTGGGGAACTTTTTCTTCCTACTATTTGCTGGTCCCTGATGAGCGGTCCCAAGCTTAGCCTTTGTATCTAAGACTTTCTTGCTGAAAGTAGTGAAAGTTACGCACATCGATGGAGGTGTTGTCCACCAACTTATTGTTTACATTTGTAGGTAGACATCTTAGATAAGTTGTGAGGAGTACCTGAGGGTCATATCGCACACCAGGCACCACGATCAAACGCTCTACAACGTCTGTGACTTCACGCGCTGTTCGATACCGTTTGGAACCGAGACTGAACAGTGCATCAGTGGCCTTATGAGCCCCTTGAGGGTCATGCGACCTATTATACATAGTCCGTACGAAGTCTTCCAATGTGTGGGCCTGGGCCCAGGCATCAAAGTTCTGACCATAGCCCTGTTGCTGCACTAGACCATTCAGCCATTGCGCTGCAGAGCCCTCTAAAAAGGAAGCAACAACTATAACTTTCTGCTCTGGTCTAGTAAGCTTGTGCCTCACATAAGTAGGCTCAGTCCTCACCCAGGTGTCCAGGTCCTCTTCCTTCTTCTTGTCGTCAGAGAAGGGTTTAGGACTCAGCAAGGGGATTTTGGGCAACCAATCACCCACCTATTATACACAGTCCGTACGAAGTCTTCCAATGCCTGGGCCTGGGCTCAGGCATCGGAGTTCTGACCATAGCCCTGTTGCTGCACTAGACCATTCAGCCATCGCGCTGCAGAGCCCTCTAAAAAGGAAGCAGCAATTATAACTTCCTGCTCTAGTCTGGTAAGCTTGTGCCTCACATAAGTAGGCTCAGTCCTCACCCTGGTGTCCAGGTCCTCTTCCTTCTTCTTGTCATCAGAGAAGGGTTTAGGACTTAGCAAGGGGATCTTGGGCATCCACTGCATGGATTGGATTGGCCCCGGTGATTGCTGCAGTGGCTTCATAGCCATTGAAACAGGTTGCTGCATGCGAACTTGAGCCTGCCCTAGCGATGGGACTGTAGCTGCCACCGTCATCGATGGTACGGGAGAAGTGCTAAGAACCGGACCACGAACTGTTGTTAAACCACCTGAAGGAGGCACACCAAACATAGGAGAAAAAGAGGGCCCTACCGGCGACGACGTCACTAAAGGACCCGCAACCGAAGGGGGAGCTACTAAATACTGAGGCTGCCTTGTCATTAGGCAAGGGCCCTGCAGTGCAGCCAGAATTCGGTTTTGGCCGGCCACTAGTTCGGCCAGCACTTCCTGCTGGACAACCTGCGTTTCTGCCACGCATAGAAGCGAGCGACGCAACGACTGCATCGCGAGATCCAGTGTTTGACCCATCCAATGCTTCTAGTCTTCCTAACTCATGCCTCCTAGTTCCTAGTCTAGCTTTTCTCAATATAGCTTTCTCTCTTCTCGTTGCTGCATGTCTCAATTGCTGCTACAACTCATCATGAAGGGCCTCCGCTTGGAGCATCTCATAATCCTCTGGTGGGAGAGGAGACTGCTGGCTGACTTGCGACCCAACAGTCTGACTAACGGAACCCTGAGAAACCCTCTGACTAACTCCTGACAAAGAGGCCTGGGACAAGGCCTGTGACATGGTGACTAACTCCTAGCGAAGAGGCTTGGAATAAGGCCTATGACATTGTAGAGGCGCTAGCCATTGCAGCCTCGACGCTGGCTGCTGCTGCCCTAGACCTCCGTAACGCCACGCTCTCCCTGGCTTCCCTTCGCAAGCTCCTTTCCTAACTCCTGGAAAGTGATCGGTCGACTGAGAGCAGTTTTGCGGGTCACTCTAAGATCTTTCACTATTCGTTCCTCCTCCTCACTACTAATTGCTTCACTCATGAGCTACAGTGGTGTGTAATCTAAACTAGAATCCACACTAAAGCCTACCTTAGCATGACACGTAACCGAGTAATAATAATCAACTATTTTCGGTCGACCTGGAGAGAAGTAGTCAAGTGGTAACCAGCAATCAATGTCAGGTCCTAAAGGTAACTCTATTTCTATTTTTAGATTATTCCAAAACAGAGTGCAATGCAGCAAACAATGGTCTATCCTATCTGCAGCTGTCTGTCATTTGTCACCAAGTCCGTGCAACTAAATAATCAAAAATAAAAATAGAGTACATGTGGACATGCATGTTGGATAACAATTTATCTACTTAGTTTTTCGGCGAACAGTTGCTGGAATCCCCCCTCCCCCTATCCCTCTTGAGTAGTCTCTTGTGTCGACGCCCTGAGCATCTGGTTGAGCAGCGTGTCTAAAGGTGTGCAATCCGGCCCACCCCTGTGCCTCAAGTCTATGCTAAGCCTGGAAGCTCTGCACTTTGTTTACCCTCACATGCAACGAGCCTTACTTCTGGATGATCAAGAGGCAGTTTAAAGACAACCCCCAAGGTCCTCAGGAATTATTTAACATCGCACACAGGACGACGATCACAACCAGGGTTCAATCAGAACCCGCCAGAAGTGTTTATGGACAGTCTGGTAAGCGTCTCTTAAAGGGCTGGCATGCCCATCATATTGTGCAGCAGCAGAACCAAGGACTTGCGGCAAAGCATATGTGTACTAGTCCGAGCGGGTTGGCATGGTGATCGTGACCCGAGTGCTTCGTCCAGGGCCCTTCAGAGGCTTTGCCCGTCTCCCACCAGCTTGCTGCCCAGGAAGAATGTCGGCTCTCAAGGTTGAGTGCTCGTGACAACTCACATCGAGAGGACTCTCAAGACAGAACTCACTTCCTCACAGTAAGAAGTAATTAAGAGGGTAGACAAGGAAGAGAGCAACGTACCTCATAATGCTGCCCCCAACCACAGATTTCTCACCGGCAATCTGATGTGCATTTATGATGACCGGTCCTCGCCTTGGCACAACAAACAGCGAAATGCAGTTCCACCTCGACTTAAATGCCACGTCAGCGAGCTCTCATCATCCAGCGTACATCCCTATGTCACCACATGGCCTTCCCGACGCGCCCACACGACCCTGGGCCGCCTATCGTCCAACGCCCAAGCCTTATCACTGCCCCACACCACATGTGAAGCACCGAACAGCTATTGCGAAGAAGCAGTAAAGTGCAGTTCGAACCAGCTCCGATACCAAATTGCAAGGAAAATGAGCAATAGCGAGATGAATCCAGATAACACGATCACAATGAAAGCCAGAAAGTCTCACGGTGTCCAGAAAGCAGTATTGCACACCAATTGAGAATCGAAACACTGAAACCGCATGTCAATGAGAGCTTACTCTCGTCATCGCCGGCATCAGATCCAGGCCCTTCCCCCTACTTGGTGCTCGGCGCCCAGACTACTCCCCACACAGCGCCAGCAGCCACCGAAGTACATGAAGATGTTGCCCAATGGAGACGATCGCCAATACCAGGTATGAGTCCTCACATCATCATCCTCATCTCTCTCTCTCTCTCTCCTCCTTGTCTTTCTCCCTTGTCTTCCCTCTATACACCCGAAGACCACCACTGCGCCTTGCTGTTTGTCCAAGCCCAGCCAGCTATGGAAGCTGGGCTATGGCACTGCCCTCAGCAGCGCCCTTCTTCCCACACGACCGCATGTGCACAGCACCTTGCCCCAGCGCTAGCAGCAGCCCGTGAGTGTCCGCTCCAGCTGCACTGCTGCAAACTGGCAAGTGCCCGAATCAGCTGCCAGGCAGCGAGCTCTTTCCTATATGGAAAGAGTCTGGCCTGGCTGGGCTGGGCCTGCGCCCAGAAGCTTCCGGTAGCCCCCAGGAGGCTGGCTTGTTGCTGCTGCTGCGGATCTGGGCCCCGTTCGGTTACGTGCCCCAACTACCCAACGTGTATACTGCTGCATGAGGCCCAGGGCCTGCCCTCAGGAAGGCCTAGAAGGCCAAGTAAAGATATGCTGCTCGTGGCCTGGGTTTTCCTCACCCAACTGACGCAACGAAACTGCCTGAACCCCAAATACGAAACTGACGGCAATGGGCCTCTCGAGATTTGTCAGGCCCGCCTTAACTTAGGGCAGGCACATTGTGAACAGGGGGGCCCTTAGCCCTGCCGAGGAACCAAATCCTCGCATGTGTGTCTCAGTCCGTGTTTGGTCGGGTCATCACAGGTCTGCATAACTACTCCTTGATTCAAATTGCCTGGTTTACGCCACTCACTCCTCTTTTTCTTTTTTTCTTTTTTTTGTCTTGGCTGTGTTGCTCACTCCCTCTTCCCCCTCCCCCCTCCCCCCTTTTCAAAAAAATTGTTTGTCAATCGATTGCGCCTTTTGGTTGTCCTGTCCAGGCCAAGGAAATGGAATGTGGCTGTCGTTGGCAGCCATGATCTCTACGAGCATCCACACATCAATGATCTAGCATACATCCCGGCGATGAAGGATGGCAAGATGGGATTCAACCTGTTAGTTGGCGGTTTTTTCAGCCCAAAGAGATGTGAGGAGGCAATACCATTGGATGCATGGGTGCATGAGCAAGATGTGGTACCTCTCTGCCATGCAGTTCTGACGACGTTTCGTGACCTTGGGGCACGGAGCAACCGCCAAAAGTGTCGGATGATGTGGCTTATTGACGACCTGGTAAATTATGAAATTCACTATCCCATCTCTCTCTCTCTCTCTCTCTCTCTCTCTCTCTCTCTCTCTCTCTCTCTCTCTCTCTCTCTCTCTCT